TTGTTCTTTCGCATAATCGACATTGGGGATTTCATATTGTTAATAATAACACAAAATTTGATGAATTAATTGTATACCGTAAAAGTCGAACACGAGTACCACCCTGGCGTATACCCAATTTTAAGAGCTAGGCGGTGATTTATATCCGTGTATTTGAATACTACGTATATGTGCCATACCCGATAGATATGTAAAACATTATCCTTAATATGGTGTACCCCATACCGATACCCCCAATACAGGGTACAAATTTGATTTATGAAAATATTTGTTCGATCATATGATTGAATATTCACTAGTACTTATCGTAAAGAAATCGATAAAAAGTTTTTAATGTTCCAATCCCATATTTGACAAGTTATCCGAATTCAATTCAATACAGATTGAATCCGCATTAATCAAGCTAGTTTCGGGCATATCTTTAGGGTCCGTTATTTAAGGTTTTGACCAATCCGAATAAAAATCTTTGATCTTAACATGTATCTGAATTTTATCGAGATTTAAGAATCAATCTACGTACTGTAGAAGATTTATAAATTAGTTTTTTTGATTCTCATAACATAAAATGACCCGATAGTAAAAAATTTAGCAAATTTGATCCGGTTGGGAATTTATTAAACAGAGTATATTAATAGAGTATATAAGTAGAGTATAAAAAACAGAGTATAAATGAGTATAAACAGAGTATAAAAAACAGGGAATATAATACAATTTACGATTATAATTTAAAAGTTTTTTTTTTTTATTACACTTCTATCAAAAAAAAAATTTACATGGGAAACATATTATTAATCTATAAATTATTCTTTTTTTAAAGAAAAAAAAAAGTGAGAATTAAAATTTGTACATGTGAAAAGGATATGAAATTACATTACATATTAAAATTGCTACCACTTTAGTAAGTTTATATTTATTACGGTTTCCCGAATTTTTTTCCTGCTTTTTTTTTTTTTTTTTTTTTTTTTAAATGCTTGATTCTTTTTTTTTTTTTCGCTTGTTTAAAAAACAAGCGAGTATTATGGAGTATTGTGCGTACTGTTGTCATACGTACCATTTAAATCTACGTAATTTTGTTCATATAGTCATATTTTTTGTAAAAAGGAAGCCTAATTGTGTATAAAATATTTTGTCGGATTTCATCTAAATATTCGTTTTCCCTTGCCCGAATAAAAAGAAAAAGAAAAATCATAAAACACGTAAAACCATACAGACTGTACAGAGAGAGAGAGTACAGACTGTACAGATTGCTAACAAAATTTCATATGTAAATTTGACCAATATCCAAATATAATTTACATAAATTCATCAAATAAAAATGAATGAAAGAATTCTAAGAAAGAGTTAATAAAATCCTAATAATCTACCGTCCGCACGACCACTTAAAGCGGCAGATAAAGCAGCAGTTGTAAGAGCAGTAGTGGTACTTGCACTCCAACCGAGTTGCATAGTTATTTGTTGAGTTAAGAATCGCCAAAATTCATCGACTAACCCGCCACGTAATAAGACCATGATGACCAAATAATATAATACACCCGATACTTTTCGAGCGATTAATTTTCTTAAAAGTTTTTGCAAGAAAGACTTTAAGTCAGTTGATAAAGACAATAGACTATAAAATCTTGAACGAGATTTTTGAGTCTTTTGGGCATAAGAAATATTATTGTGGGTAGAATCATTCCGTAGACGAGGAGGATTAGGATTGTATTGTACGGAATTGATTAAAATAGTAGGAGTTAGTGGATGAAGAGATGGTTGATTAAGATGGTTATGCGACGGTGATGCGGACACATCCTGATTAATTTGAGAGACGCGAAGATGTGGAGAATTAAAAGAAGAGGAGAGACGAGGAATTGGCCTTATAGGACTTGGAGAAAGGATAGGTTTTGCATCGATTTGCACGGAAGGAGACGTGTAAACCTGGGTCATTCTAAGCCAATTTGGCACGTGATCTAGACCGGGGGAAGAAGGTTTAGGGGTCGGAGGTCGACTGTGATATGGAGTGGTTGGAGCAGAGAAGTATACATCATTTAGAGAGCATAAAGAATCATATGATGTAATTCTACTTAAAGTAGGTAAAGCAGGAGGAGGAATTCCATAATATTGATATGGTTTATACGTCTCCAAATCATATTCATAAGTATCAGACCCACCATGCTCTAATAGTATAAGTAAAATATAAATTAAGGGGTAAGAATCACATGGAAATAAAATTTTTTGGGAAATCATGGGATATAACCAAAAAAGGGCAGGTAATAGAAAAACGTGGGGGGGGAAATAGATTAATTATGGGCGTACCAATCAAAACATTTTCCTCATCGAAAAAATCCAGGAGTTCTTTATTTTCCGAAAGGAAAAAAATGCGATTCAAAGCATCCTCAGGAAGGATTGGTTTGAAAAGTTTCCATATTCCAGAATACATCCAGCCATAATTCAACACGAATACTAGATAACAAATATAATAATTAATAAAATAAAGAAATAAAAATACATAAATAATAAGAGAGGATGAAAAAAAACTTACTGGCACCAGTAGAACCGGGAAAATGGTGACGAAAAACGTCAGTTGTAAAGCGGAGTATATCAAGGCTCTAATAAAGGTAAAATGGCGAAAGAAATTTTCCTTTAGCGTGAGAAAAAAAAAAAAAAAAAAAAAAAATATATATATATATATATATATATATATGTATATATATATATATGTTATTATATTATATATGTATATGTATATAATTACCAGAGCAGAAACTCCAGCACCTTTTAAGTCCAATAAAATAACATATTGTAAGACTGGACCATCCCTTGATTCTTTGGACCTATCCAACAACAATCTTCTAGCCACCTCAGCATTGAAAATGATATATTTCTTTACTTCTTCGATGGTAGGAGAACCATCTTCACGAACGTATTCACGTAAGTTGAGGATGGCACAAGGACGATTGAATTTATCAGTTTTATGAAAAAAGAAAAGGCCTCTTTCGATAAAATCTTGATTAATATCCTGGATAGAGAGATTGTCCACCTGGTTTTCGACGCGCCAACGAAGGTTGGACATTAAAGCTCTCGAGGCAACATCAAAATCGAAATTATTCTTTCTAAGGAAACGAAAAAGAGTACCTATAAAAAAAAAATTATTAGTCAAAAATAAATATATAATAAAATAATAAATAATAAAATTATAATAATGATGAATTACCTCTGTCATTAATATATTGTCTGATACGTTCAACTTGAACAAAGTCTAAATTAAGTTTTTGCTGAAGTTCAGGAAGGAAGTCAACAAGAATAGATTGTAACTCATCAACTACAGGCTCATATTCCTTGTAAAGAAGTTTGAATTTGGCGATTTTTTCTCCAATCAAATGGCTCATTATATATCGTTAAAAAAAAAGAAAATTATAATATATATATATAATAAAAAATATATATATATATGGTGTATCTATTTTTTTATAAGACGCGGATGGATGATATATATGTAAAAACGTAAGGTTAAAAGTAAAAGGAAAAGGGCGATGGATATTTAGATCGTGGGTCACAATAAAGACTAAGAAAAAGGAAGAACCGAAAACGTGTGCTTTTTATTTGAAGAACGAAGGAATATCAACGAAAGTTTTTTTTTTTTTTTTTTTTTTTGTGCAGTGGATGACAACAGAAATAAAATCAATAAAGTCGAGAACTTGTTTTTTTTTTATTTGAATTGGATATATAAAAACCAAAAATATAAAAAATTAAAAAATCTAAAATATAAAAAATCTAAAAAATATGCGGAAAAAACTGATCAACTTTATTATTTATAAATAAAAAAAATTTTATAATAGTGCTGTGGTACATTTGAAAATGCCGTAGTACGTCATTCTATCATCACCTGAATTTCATCACTTTACAATAGTACCAATAGTAATGCTGTATTGTAAAGATATTCGATCTACCGCTACTAAATCTGGGCGCCGATAACCTCTTCGATTATCAAAATCATCATGATAACAAAATTTTCCAGAATTAATGTTTTAACATCTATCAACTCTGATAAGATAAACTTATCATAGATGAAAAACGGTAAAAAAAGAAAAAAAAAATGTCGTAATTAATTGGTAATTTCATTATTATCACATTACTAATACATGTTCGTTAGGCTGTAATCCACCAAGATGACTAAATATGAGCAGTTCGGCTATTTTTATTTTATTTTACTAATTAAAATATTTTACGTATACAGTATACCATTTATCCGTAAATAAAAAAAGAAGTTAGATCTTATTATATTGAGTGATAATAACGAGGTCTGTGATTATTGACGCCTGCATGTTTGTTATTTGCTTTGGGCCACCTGACAGCGAAATAATCTCAGGGTTACACGATACTTTCAAATTTGGTAATTTCAGCTGAAAAAGCAATTTTGGGCAGGTGAACATTAATATATGAGATATATGAGCTTTTGAAGCATGGTCACACGTAACAGGAGAATTGCCTGATTATATCAAATGTCTAATTGTTTATCAAATTTTTTTTTATGTAGATTTC